AATAAGAAGAGGATGAGGAAAATAACTAGGAGGAGGAGGAGTAGTTGGAAGGAGGATGAGGATGAGGAGGAGGTGGATGGGCATGAGGAGGAGGACGAGGAAAAGGATTACGGAATTGGAGGAGGAGGAGCAGGAGGAATAATGATGATGATGATGATGATGATGATGATGATGATGATGATGATGATGATGATGATGATGATGATGATGATGATGAGGAGGAGGAGGAGGAGGAGGAGGAGGAGGAGGAGGAGGAGGAGGAGGAAAAGGTTGAGTGGGAAGGAGGAGCAGACGGAAGCGATAGGAGGAATGATGGCGGGACAGGTTCAGCCGCGGGGCGTCGGCGGCCGCGAGGCTCAACGCCGCGAGGCCGCGCGCCCCTGTGCCGGGCCCCCTCCCTCCTCAAGAGGCCAGGGGGGAAGGCACGGCCGCGCCTGGCCGCGCGGCCGCATGGCCCGCCGCCCTCCCCGCGCCTAAGGCACCGCTGCCCTGCTGGAGGAGGAGGAGGAGCAGGAGCAGGAGGAGGAGGAGGAGGAGGAGGAGGAGGAGGAGGAGGGAGGCGGAGGAGCACAGGAGGAGGGGAGGAGGAGGAGGGAGGAGGAGGAGGAGGAGGAGGAGGAGAGAGGAGCGGATGAGAGGAATCTACGCATACGAAGAGTATTGACGAGGGAGGGGAGGGAGATGGAGGAGAAGGAGGAGGAGGAGGCAGATGAGTGGGAGGAGGAGGAGGAGGAGGAGGAGGAGGAGGAGGAGGAGGAGAAGGAGGGGAGGCGGAGGAGGAGGAGGCGGCGGCGGAGGAGGAGGGAGGAGGAGGAGGAGGAGGAGGAGGAGGAGGCGGCGGCAGGGCGGAGGAGGAGGAGGAGGAGGAGGAGGGGGAGGAGGAGGAGGAGAAGGATGATGAGGAGGAGGAGGAAGAGGAGGAGGAGGAGGAGGAGGAGGAGGAGGAGGCGGAGGAGTCACAGGAGGAGGACGAGGAGGAGGAGGAATAATAATAATACTCATCATAAACGTAATACTAATCAGGAGAATATCACTATTAAGGATACTACTACTACTACTACTACTAATAATATCAATAACATATTATTACGATAAAGAGTACTAGTAGTAATGATACTCATACTAAGAAGAATAAGCAGACTACTACTACGAAAAAGACCTAGCATACCACGAATAATAATAATATAAGGCGAATACTACTCTTACTACTATTAATAATACTAAAACTAATAATAACAACACTAATAATACTGATAATACTAATATTGATGTTCATAACACTAATAATAATTATAATACTAATAATGCTATGATTATTTATTATAATAAAAATAATAATAGTAATAATAATACTAATAATATCAATAATAATAATAACACTAATATTAACAACAACAATAATAATAACACTAATACTAATGATACTGCGAATGTTAATGATACTACTAGTACAAAGAAGACGAATCATACTGATAAGAATAAGAAGAATACGAATCATACTACTACTACTATTAATAATAATGATAAGACTATTACTAAGGAGAAGAATAATAATACTACTACTAATAATAATACGAAACAGATAATACGGAAAATAATAAGAGAAGGATGAGGAGGAGGAGGAGGAGGAGGAGGAGGAGGAGGAGGAGGAGGAGGAGGAGGAGGAGGAGGAAGGAAGAGGAGGAGGGAGGAGGAGGAGGAGGAGGAGGAGGAGGAGGAGGGAAGGGGGGGGAGGGGGGGGAGGGGGAGGGGAGGAGGGACGGGAAGGAGGAGGAGGGAGGCGGAGCGGCGGCGGCGGGCGGCGGAGGAGGAGGAGGAGGAGGAGGCGGCGGCGGTGGCGGCGGCGGAGGAGGAGGAGGAGGAGGAGGAAGAGGAGGAGGAAGAGGAGGAGGAGGAGGCGGCGGCGGCATGGCGGTGGCGCGCCCGGCTGCTGGGGCGGCTTGCGCCCACTGCGGCGCCGCCGGCCTGAGGGCGCAGCGCGAGGAGGCGATCCTCGACCTCGAGATCCAGCGTGCGGACTGCCTCAGGATCTGCCTCGACGTCACGGTGCGCTACGGGGTGCCGGGCGACGAGGAGGGGCTGCGAGCCGCCGCCGCGCGGGACGGCGCCGTCGCCCGGGCCGCTGAGGCGGACAAGCACCAGCAGTACCCCGCCGGGGGCACGCCCTGGCGGATGGTGTCGTTGGCCGTGGAGACTGGCGGCCGCCACGGCCCGGCGGCCCTGCGGCACTTGCGCTGCTTGGCGCGCGACCAGGCGCAGCTGCTGGCCGGGGACGACGCCGCCGCGGCCGCGGCCGCGGCCGCGGCCGGCGCCCTGGCGCGGCGCTGGGGCGCCGAACTGGCGGTCGCGCTGCAGGCCGCCACGACGCGCCAGCTGCGCACCGGCGCGCACGCGGCCATGGCCGCCGAGCTTGCCGGCTGAGCTGGCGTCGGCGCTGGGGCGCAGGGCGGCGGGAGGAGGAGGAGGAAGAGGAGGAGGAGGAGGAGGAGGAGGAGGAGGAGGAGGAGGAACCAGACCACACGCAAGGCCGCTTCTTCTTCTTCTTCTTCTTCTTCTTTTTCCTACTCCTCCTCAGGCTTGCCGTTGCCCGCTTTGCCCACCGCAGCCCTTGGCCATCGTGAGGCGCTCGGCGAGCGCGGCCTCCTTGACATTCATGGTCCTCGCGATGGTGCTCCTGCTCATGTTCACGTACAGCCGCTCTGCAAACGGCCCCCACTCGTGAGGCCTCCCATCGCCCGGCGGGCGCCTCCCACGCTTCGCCTGCGAGCGCTGCGCCTCGGCACTGGCCGCCTGCTCCCGCTGCTGGTCGACGTGCGGCGTGCTCGGACAGACGCCTTGGCGCTTGCCGGACTTCTCGCCCTTCGTCTTGTTGGTGGCTGCCGCGCGCCAAGGGGCCGCCTGCAGCGCCTCTCCAGCCGCCGGTGAGCCTCAGTCTGGCCGCGGGCCTCGCCGCTCGCAGTGGCGGCTGCAGGCTTCTGCTGGTCCTTCAGCCTCCTATGGGGGCCGCGGGGAACCGCTCGATCTGCACGAGCACGTCCCCGACGCGCGCTGGGACGCGTGGCCCCGGTGCCTTGTCGAAGGACCCCATCACCCCTGCTCCGGACGCCATTGCCCGTCTCAGCTTCGGCGCCCGAACCCCAGAGCCTGCGGGCGCTGCGGCTCGAGGGGAGGTGGGCTTGAGGAGGCGGCGGAGAAGGAGAAGGAGGAGGAGCAGGATGAGGATGATGACGGCGGGGATGGTGAGGATGAGGCTGCTGATGATGTCGATGATGGCCATGATAGTGTGATGATGGTGATGTTGGTAAGGATGCTGCTGTTGAGGATTAGCATGAGGATGATGATGACGATGATGAGGATGATGATGAGTATGATGATGATGATGCTGATGATGCTGGTGATGATGGTGTTGATGCTGATGCTGCTGTTGCTGATGTTGATGATGGTGATGCTGATGATGGTGATGCTGATGATGACGATGATGGTGATGCTGATTATGATCATGATGACGATTCTATAGGCTTACGCCACATCCGCCGACCCCTCATCTTGGCGGTCTTGCCGGCTCGCTTGAATCGGGCTGGGGAGTCGTGTAGGGGTCCATAATGACTTCTCTTGGGGCTCGAGAGCGCGAATCCTTTTTGTTGCGCAAACGCAACCCCGCCACCGTGCCGGGGTTGTTGATATGAGACTTGTGCGGTGATCGTTGGGATCTCTTGGGGGGCTTCTCGCGGGACTCTTGGAGGCAGTTTGGCTACGTGAGCCGACGGAAGCCGGGAAAGGCAACAATTGCAAACATGTTCAACAACGCAATGGAAATGTAATGAAATGCGTAATGTGCGCCTCTTTCAGATGTCCTGGGGGTCTTCTTGGAGACTTCGTGGGCGATAGTGAAAGCCTTTTAGGCCATCTTGATGCCATCTTGGGCCGTCTTCGAACTGTCGTGGGCCGTCTTGGAGCCATCTTGGGCCGTTTTGGAGCCATCCTGGGCCGTTTTGGAGCAATCTTGGCCTCGAGAGCGCGAATCCTTTTTTGTGCGCAAACGCAACCCCGCCACCGTGCCGGGGTTGTTGATATGAGACTTGTGCGGTGATCGTTGGGATCTCTTGGGGGGCTTCTCGCGGGACTCTTGGAGGCAGTTTCGAAGCCTCTTGGGGGCCGTTGTGAGGCCGTTTTGGAGCCTCTTGGGGGCCTCTTGGGGCCTCTTGTGGGCGTCTTGGGGGCATCTTGGGGCCTTCTGGGGCCGTCTTGGGGCGGAAGGCTCGGATTGTCGGTTCGGGCTCCCCCTCTTGGGCACCTCTTGGGGCCGTCTTGGGGCCCTCTTGGGCTGTCTTGGGGGCCTCTTGGGCCGTCTTGGCGCCCTCTTGGGCCGACTTGGGCGCCTCTTGGGGGCCTCTCGGGGCGGTCTTGGGGTGCTCTGGGACCGTCGTCAACGCCGTGAAGGCCGACAAGTAGTATATGATCAAAATGTACGTTTTCCCATAGGAATTTGACGATTTTCGGCGCTTCGGCCCTTCTGAGGACTGCTCTTGGAGGCCTCTTGGGCCGTCTTGGAGGCCTCTAGGCTCGTCTTGGGGGCATCTTGGGCGTCTGGGAGCGCTCGTTTGGCGCCTCGGAGCCCTCGTGAGCCGTCTTGGAGGAGTCTTGGGGCCTTCTTGGCCCGTCTTGATCCCCTTTTGGGCCCAAAGGAGCCCCGTGACGCGCTCGTCGTGGGCCCGGGGGGGGGGGTCGAATCTCCGGTTTGGGGTCCCAGGGGGGGGGGTAGGGGGGGGAACTATCTCACACGCCTAGAGACCCACAAGGGGTCGGCGGATTTTGTTCATCATGATGATGATACTGCTGCTGCTGCTGATGATGCTGATGATGAGGAGGAGGAAAACGAGGAGGAGGATACGGAAGAAGATAAGTACGCGGAAACGAAGGACTGACTAGGGGGACGCGGGGAAGGAAGAGGAGGAGGCTAACGAGCGAGGACGGAAGAGGATGGAGGAGCAGGAGGAGAGGTTGGCTCGGCGACGGCGCACCACCTTGTCGACGCTGGGAGGGCCACCTGGCTACACCGAGATGTCGGGCCCCAACTTCGCGCTGTTCGAGCCACTGAGTAACACGCGGCGCTCTCCCAAGTTCTTGGTAGCCTCTTGATCCTCACTTCCTCCTTTCCTTCCGCCTTCTTCTCTTCATCCCTTTCCCGCTCTTCCCATCCTCTACCCCCTCCTCCTGTTCCTCTGACGGCTCCCCCTTCCTCCTGGTCCTCCGCCTTCTCCGTCCTCTTGCCTTCTTATCACCCTCCTCGTCCTCCTATCCGCCTGCCCCTCGTCCTTCTTCTCCAGATCCTCCGTTTCCGTCACCACTCCGCCTTATGAGTGATTCCTCTGCATCGCGCCAGCAGGCTTGTCAGTAGCACGGGCCGCGTGATCCGCCTGAGACTTCACAGTATATGTCCCTGACGCTGGAAACTTGCAACAGTTTCACGCATTGAGGGCGGCCGGTCTTATTATGAAAGTGCGCCAGTGGATCTTCCTGAATACACTAAAGGGTGGGGGGTCCAGAACCCCCCCCTCCTCCCCCCCTTCAAGGCGGGGGTGGTCCGGACCCCCCCCCTTCCCCCCTTAGGGGGGGGAGCGGGGTCCGACCCCCCCCCCCTTCCCTTGAAGGGGGGGGGGGGTCCGGAACCCCTCCCCCCCCACCGCTTGGCGCTGAAGGGGTGGGGGGGGTTTCGACCCCCCCCCCCCTCCCCCCCTTTGCGCCGGAGAGGGGGCCGGGGAGGGGGGGCCTCTCTTTTGTTTTCTGCGCCAGAGAAGGTGTGTAGGGAGTACGGAGTTGGGAGTAGGGAGTGGTGAATAGTGAGTAGTGAGTCAGTGCGTAGTGAGTAGTGAGTATTGGGTAGTGAGTAGTGGGTAGTGACTGGCGAGTAGGGAGGAGGGAGTAGTGAGTGCGGAGTAGTGAGTGGTGAATAGTGAGTAGTGTGTACTGATTTGTGAGTAGTGAGTGGCGAGTAGTGAGTAGTGAGTAGCGAGTAGTGAGTAGTGTGTACTGAGTAGGGAGTAGGGGGTAATGAGTCGTGGGTAGTGAGTGGTGGGTAGTGAGTAGTGGGTGGCGAGTAGTGATTAGTGAGTAGTGAGTAGTGGGTAGTGCGTAGTGCGTAGTGAGTAGTGAGTAGTGAGTAGTGAGTAGTGAGTAATGGGTAGTGGGTAGTGAGTAGTGAGTAGTGAATAGTGAGTAGGGAGTAGTGAGTAGTGAGTAGTGAGTAGTGAGTAGCGAGTAGTGAGTAGTGAGTAGTGAGTAGTGAGTAGTGAGTACTGAGAAGTACGTAGTGCGTAGTGAGTAGTGAGTAGTGATGAATACAAAGTAGTGGGTAGTGGCAGCGTGTAGTGTGTAGTGAGTAGCGAGTAGGGAGTAGCGAGTAGTGACTAGTGAGGAGCGAGTAGGGCGTAGTGAGTAGTGAGTAGTGAGTAGAGAGTAGTCAGTAGTGAGTAGTGGGTAGTGATTCGAGAGTAACGACAAGGAAGTAGCGAGTAGTGAGTAGCGAGTAGTGAGTAGTGAGTAGTGAGTAGGGAGTAGGGAGTAGGGAGCAGTGAGCAGTGAGTACTAAGAAGTGGGTAGCGAATAGTGGGTAGTGAGTAGCGACTAATGAGTAGTGAATAGTGGGTAGTGAGTAGTGACGTTTTATCCTTGGCCTCTTCCTGGCCACTAGGGGGCCAGGAACGATTAGAAACCATCACAATTAGAAACGAACGCGATTAGACATGAACGATGTGTACAACAGTTTCACGGATTGAGGGCGGCCTGTCTTATCATTAGCTCTGGCATGAGCGCATCGCACATCCGCTCCAACAGTTCCCACAACTTCACGGAAGGCTGTTCTTTCAAAGGCCACGCGTATTCGATGTGTGGCAGCGGCACGGGTGAGGTGCGATTTCTCTTCAACAGAGGACGTATATCTATATATATATATATGTACATATATGCTTACATTTAGACACACATACATCTATATATATATATATATATATATATATATATATATATATATATATATATACATGGCTACCATATATATATATATGAACATATACATAGACATATGTCTACGGACATGCATGTATTCCATCATCCGCCTTCAAACGTACAGGACATGCCTGCACTTCCAAGGGCTGGTAGGAGGATTGTTGTCTAAACGGGGTTCCTGCCTGAATGGCAGGCACAATGGGTGTTCGTTTTTCAATTTGGGTGCTTCCGCGGTGAACATTATTTTGAGGAGGGGGTTTGGACGTGAGGGTGTAATGCAGCATCGCTTGTGCACCCTGAGCATCGGTATATCTCCATACATGTAAATATATGCGTAGATCAATCGGTGTCTCTTATTGTCCTCCTCCTCCTCCTCCTCCTCCTTCTCCTCGTCGTCATCCTCCTCCCACCTTCCTCACTCTCCTCCTTTTTTTCTCCTCCTGATCATCGTCGTCGTCCTCCTCCTCCTCCTCCTCCTCCTCCACCTCCCCCTCCTCAATCTCCTCCTCCTCCTTGTCGTTTTGCTTTTCCTCCTCTGCTACTTGCTTGTCCTCTTCCTGCTGCTCCTTCTCCTCGTTCTACTTGACACTCTGCCCCTCCTGCTCCTCTTTCCCCCGCGTCTCCTCAGCCTCTTCTCCTCCCCCTCATTCTCGATCCCCTTCTGCTTGTCGTCGGCGTCCTCCACCTCATTGTGGTGTAGCCGTCGGGGCGTATCGTTCTCGTTGTCTTCCTCCCCGTCCTCCACCTCCCCCCCCCCCTCCTCCGCCCCCATCCCCTCTCTCTCCCGCCCGTTGAGGTCGCTCTCCGTCCGCGTCCTCCTCTTCCTCCTCCGCTCCCCTTTTCTCCTCTTCCTCCTCCCTCGTCCTCCCTCGTCCTCCCTACGTAGTCCTCCTCGTCGTTGTCTCCCAGGTTTCTGGTCTCGAGCGCCTCCGAGTCCCTGCTGACCGCCCTGCGGCTTGAGGGTGCCCCCGAGAGGACCACCTGGCACCCGAGCAGGCTGGAGGAGCCGGGGCGCGAAGTCTCAGGCCGAGGAAGGGGGAGGGGGAGGAGGAGGAGGCGGAGGAGGAGGAGGAGGAGGAGGAGGAGGAGGAGGAGGAGGAGGAGGAGGAGGAGGAGGCGGAGGAGGAGGAGGAGGAGGAGGAGGAGGAGGAGGAGGAGGAGGAGGAGGAGGAGGAGGAGGAGGGGGAGCCACGAACGCCCAAGAGATTCTAGGAAGGAGCGGCCCTCAGGATTGCCGCGGCGGTGGACAGCGAGGCACCCAGACCCGCCCCGCAGGCTCCCGCGCGCGCCATATCAACCACCCTTACGAGGACCCGAACCTTGATTCTCGCTGGCCTGCACGGCCCACGCTTACGTCCACGACCACCAGATCCCGGAGCCGCGCCTGGCACAGGCGGCTCCGAGGCAAGAGGGCCAACTAACGCACATGACTTCCGGTACTATAGTCGGCCCCGATTTGTACATAGGTCGACCCTGCCAGCTCAAGGGTACCCTTGTGTCCTGTGCCTCGCGACATGTGCCTTCTTACACTCCTATGGCAATGTGGCCCTCGGAAGGGTCTTGTGTCCTCTCGCGTGTCCTCCCCAATCAAGACAGGCTGTACGAGATCAGCAGCTACCAGCACGTGCGTCGTCACTGCGCACAGCGACTAGCACCACAACCGCCGCAAGATCCCACAATGGCGGCGCCTTAGAGGTCGACGGGGGGCCGTGCAGCGAGCAGGGGCCCACGCACGCAGACCACTACACTTGCGATCGGCGCAGGATCGGATAAGTGGAGAAACGACCCCACTGGAGGGCAGAATGGGCAGCCAAACGCCCCGACACCTACCGGAGCAAGGGCACCAACGGCAAGGGCAAGGGCGCCAATGGCAAGGGCAATGGTAGCTTTCCCAAGCCGTGTGACGACCACACGAAGGACAACGACGTCACGCATTTGGGCAATCCGGAATACAAAAAGGGCAAGGGGAAACAACAACCCCATCGTGAATTGGACGCCCCTGCCAAGAATCAGTGCGAGGCGAACCAGGACTACAGCGACCATTTCGCTAGTACCATCAACAACGTCATGCCCGTGTGCAAGGTCTGCGCTGCCAGAAGGCCCGAGTGGGAGACACCACCAAACGACCCCAAGCTCGAAGAGGATTGCAAGGTCACAAAACAACGGAAGGCAACCGTTGTCACCATCAAGAACATCGCCACCTGGCTCCAGACTGTTGACGCAGAGACCCACATCACCTTCATCAGAGCGTTGATCATCAGCAGCATGCGGCCGCTCACCCAACTAGCCAGGGAAACCGAACTCACCAAGGAGGTCATGAAGGACCACGACGAGCACACTACGGCACACCACAAGGAGGTGGAGGTTTACCTGGCAATCTTGGAGGGGGACATCGCCGAATTCCACATCATTAGGACGCACGCCAATTACGTGAGCTAGGGACGACGCCCACAACGACACAGTGGCCTCCGTTGCACTAGCCGAGGCGTCCTTGCTTGACGACCTGACTGCATGCGTTCTCACGTTCCCGAACGATTCGATCGACGCTGGGACGACGTCACTACAGAGCGTCCACTCGAGGTCCAGGCCCCCCGAACGTCAACGTGCCGAGTTGTTCCCTGCCCCCCACCCGGCGAAGCAGAGCGACACGCGATTCATTCGCAAGGCAGAGCGTGCCACCTGGGCCGCCGTGGCGACACGCTACCCCACACATCCCGACCTTAGGTGCCAGCGGACATTTCTCGACTTGCGCCCTTTGTGAGAAGTCGTGGAATCATGATAGGGGGGTGGAAGGAGGGGGGAGGAGTGGGGAACAACGGGGACACGGTTTTAGGAACATGGGTGGCGGCGAGGGGCGTGTCCGAAGGGCTCTGAGGTGGGGGGGGTCGCGCACGCGGAGGAATGGAAGCGCACATCGCTAGCGTCCTCCTTCCCTCCGTTCGGAAGGGGACGGGAGTGAGGAGGATGGCGAGGATGGGGAGCATGATGGTGTTGATGATGGTTCGTATTAGTATGATGATGAGGTGGGGATGAAGACAACGGGGATATGATGGAGTCGTAAGAGAAGAGGATGGGGATGGGAAAGGGGTATCTTGCAGCGTGCGGCCCATCCCGCCACCGCTCCTGGGTTGTATGTCAGGGGCTTTTTGGATGTCTGTGGAGATCTCTTGGGACGAGGCCTCTCAGAAGTCTTTAGGATTCGGTCTTGGGGTGCCTTGGAGGCATTTCGGGGGTCTCCTGGGGGCCTCTTGGGGCCTGTTTTGGATCTTGGGGTCCTTCTGGAGCTTGTAGGGTGCCTTTTTGGTGCCTGCTGGCGGTCTCGGGGGCCATCTGTGGGCGAATGCCTCGACATGTCGGTTCGTGTTCCCCCTCTGGGGCCTCTGTTGGGCCCCTCTTGGGGCCCTATTCTTGGGCCGTCTGTGGGCGCTCTTGGGGGCCTTTTGGGCCCTCTTGGGGCGATCCTGGGGGCGTTCTGCGCCGTTTATTCAGTAGCGTCGAACACTAACAACCTTCAACAACCTGTTGAAACGTTGTGATTTTGGCATTTCGGGGCCCTCTCTTCGGGGGCATTTGATGGCCCTCTTGGGGGCCTCTTGGGCCATCTGTGGAACATTTTGGAAGTTTTGGAGCGAGCTTGTGGCGACTCGGGGCCATCTCGGGCCGTCTTTGGGGCCCTGTTGGCCCGTCTGGGGGCCCTCCTGCCTCGGGAACAGCTACGCGACCGACCCCACGATCGCCCGGGAGCGCCCACGAGATCTGTGAGCTTGAACTTGTTCTGGAATGGTGCTGCGATTTCTGGCCGATGGTTGTGATAAGTATGGTCTGGCCCCTGGGCAGGGCCTTGTTCTGGAACGTTGTCCCTGTCAAGGGCATTGTGCTGTCTCTGTCCCCTCTCTGCCCGAGTCTGGGGCTATGGCACGTTTTCGGTGGCACGTGTAGTTCGGAGAAGATGAATCGCACAATCCGTTGACAGGGTGACCGGCGCGCCATTTCACGCTTCGCTACGGCTTCTTGTTTGGGGCATCCGCGCCCGCTCAGGTCTCCTGGCCCTGCCGGCGGCGACCTCCTGGATCGCCAGTGTTTCCCCAGAACGCTCGGCACGAGCGCGCAGTTGCACCCATCCTCCTCCCTCCTTCCCCGAATTGGTGGCCTCGATGATTATATTTGCACAGGCGTCATGACGAACGATCAGCACAAACCCATACCCATAGGAGGGTCAGAGGGTGGAGGACTGGCTATGGGTATGGGTGCAAGTTGACGGTCCCTGGGGGAGGCTCCCGTTCGAACGGGGACCCCCATCCGACAACACGCACCCATAGTCCCTTCCGTCCCCCCTATGGGTATGGGTGCGTGGTGTTCGCTCGTCACATTACGCGGTGGTGTTTGCGGCCGCGTCTGGCCGACGTTGGCTTCGCCCTTGTCAGCCGCTTCCGAGCAGCTTCGCGTTTGCCAGGCGCCGCAGTGCCCGCCGTCGGTTTCAGCATGACTTGTTGGCGAGTGGATGTGCCCAATATGTGATGTCTCACTATTCTAGTATTACCCTCCTCTCCTCCCCTCTTTGTCCCCACCTTGAGCGTGATAGTAATCCGGGTAGTATTTTATCGCTTGCGATTTCCCGAGGATTTCACCATGCTGTGTATTATGCGGCTTCTACTTGATTGTCGTTGTGTCGGGCCTTATGATATACATGGTCTTTTGGGCCATAGGGGAATACAGGCAATGCCATGCGACCGATACTTCTTAACTTCTTGCATGGATCAGGGTTTTAAGCAGCCGACGTGCGCATGACAACCGTTTTTGGCGATACGGCTGCCCACTCTATCTCTCTGGCCTCCTTGCTTTCTCTTCCTTCTCCTCAGTGGCTGGTGCTTAGCATGGTGGAGTCCCCTTTCCCTCAGTGGGGAAGCTGGCAAGTTTCATCATCAGCGCATTGGCTGTTTTTGAGAGCAACTGTTTACAATATTCATAACAGAGAACTCGAAGGGTCCTGAGGTCACTCCAACTCGTGCCTCATAGCACGGTGTTGGATAATTATGGTGAGGAACAGGATAAAGAGGAGGGGGTTGAGCGAAGGGGGCGTAGAGTACGGAGGACGACGGAGGGATTCTCGCTCACTTCACCCGCACTTGCCTCGAATGAGGGAGTGAAGGAGGTTGATGGTACTGAGAAGGAGAAGGAGGGATATCAGGAGGAATTGGAGGAGGAGGAGGTGGAACAGGGTCGGAGAAGGATGATGATGCTGCTGATGGTGACGTCGACGATGATGGTGGTGGCGATTCTGGCGACGATGGTGATGATAATGATGGTAGTGGTGATGATGAGGAGCAATTGTGACATTTTGCAGACGGAGGGCAGGAGGGGTAAGAGTAGGAGGAGGGTCAGTGGAGGGGTAGAAGGTAGATATGGGTATGACCGAGATCAGGCAAGGCACGAAAGTGGGGCACTGAGACCAGGCGAGTTGGCGCGCATGCAGAGGCGGGCAGCGGCAGCCGTGCACCGTTTTCCGAACAGAAGCAATAGCCCTTGACGAAGCATCGTGTGAGTTTGCAGCTCTTCTGGCAGTGTAAAGCTGATCGCCATAATCGGAAATCTAGGTTTCTTGCGCTTCGTGGAAGAAGGAAGAAGCACGTGGGCGACCACTGGCAGTGCATCAGCGAGCGTGCCCTGCGACACCAGGAGGGGACATCGTTTTGGTCGATGGGTGGTAACTACAGTTCTACTGCTGGAGTTCGTTGAGAGAGCCCGCCCCCGTCGGACGACATCGACCTGTCACTGGATCGAGACGGGCCCGGCGGGCCTCGACGGGCGTGAGCGCTGAGTCCCAGGGACGCGCGCGCGGATGCATGGGGCACGAACGAGACCCGAGCAGGAGAGACAGTGGTGCCCAGCAAGGGGGTTAGAAATAAAGTAGCGAGGAGCGCGGGGAGGAGATGGAGGAGGGAGTGGAGGGAGGAGTGACTCTTCTTCCACGTGCGACAAAGCATGTGCCGCAAATGGGGTCTC